GGGAGGGGAAGAGAGAACATCCTTCTCTCTAAATTGGAGAGAGATGGATTTGATGGGTGGACTGTTGGGGGGATGAGGAATTGGCTGGATGGTCACATCCAGAGGGCAGTGGTCAAAGTCTCAATGTCCAGATGGAGATCGGTGATGAGTGGTGTTCCTCAGCAGCCTGTATTAGGACCAGTACTGTTTAATATCTTCATCAGTGACACAGACAGTAGGATTGATTGCACCCTCAGCAGATTTGCTGATGACACCAAGCTGAGTGGGTACAGTTGAGATGCCTGAGGGAGGGGCTGCCATCCAGAGGGACCCAGACAAGCTCAAGGAATAGGCCAAGTGCAGGGTCCTGCACCTGAGTCAGGGCAACCCCGGAGAGCTGAGAAGGACTTGGGGGTACTGGTGGATGAAAAGCTGAACAAAAGCCAGCAATGTGTGCTCTCAGCCCAGAAGGCCAACTGCGCCTTGGGCTGCATCCAAAGCAGCGTGGCCAGTAGGTCGAGGTGACTGTGCCCCTCTACTCTGCTCTGGTGAGACCCCACCTGGAGTACTGTATCCAGCTCTGGAGCCCTCAGCACAGGAAAGACATGGACCTGTTGGAGTGAGTCCAGAGGAGGGCCACCAAAATGATCAGAGGGATGGAACACCTCTCCTATGAGGGCAGGCTGAGAGAGTTGGAGTTGTTCAGCCTGGAGAAGAGAAGGCTCCAGGGAGACCTTATTGCAGCTGTTCAATACCTAAAGGGAGCTTATAAGAACGATGGGGACAGACTTTTTAGCAGGGCCTGTAGCGATAGGATAAGGGGCAATGGTTTTAAACTAAAGGAGGGTAGATTTCAACTAGATGTAAAGAAGAGATTTTTCACAACGAGGGTGGTTAAGCACTGGCACAGGTTTCACAGAGAGGCGGTAGATGCCCCATCCTTGGAAACATTCTTTAAGGTCAGGTTGGACAGGGCTTTGAGCAACCTGCTCTAGTTGAAGACGTACCTGGTCATTGCAGGAGGGTTGGACTAGATGATCTTTAAAGGTCCCTTCCAACCCAAACCATTCTATGATTCTGTCATTTTATGTTTACTGTAAAATAGTAAATGGCATAGCTTTTTTCCTACAAAAAATGCTGTATAAGATCCAGAATAAAATTGTTTAACCCTAAAATCCATGCCACAATTCCAGTATCAGTCCACCCTAACTGAAAACCAATAGTATTTCACTTAATTCTAATATTAATGAGAACATTCAACTTCCAGTCATAACACCCAGAAAAAAATTTTCTTTACTTTCCAATATGTGAACATTTTAAATTTTCTGCAGATACATTAATGTGACAGTGTGCCATAGAAGACATCTTTAAATGCATTAGACCAAATGAATCCAGAATGTAAATGTATGATCTTAACTAAACTGAGT